CAATGATTCGCCCCCAATAGTCAGCGATGGCACCAGCTGACTATATCGGGACGTCGGAAACCACAGCCACTCGGTCTTGGATGGGTTGAGCCTGAGCCTGTTTCTCCCCATCCAGATCTGTACGGCCTCCAGGCACCGGGACATCACTTCAAGGGCATCGTTGGGGTGGTCCGGGGTAGAGATGTACAGCTGAGTGTCGTCAGCGTACTGATGGTACTTCACCCCGAAACCACGGATGATCTCGCCCAGCGGCTTTACATAAATGTTGAACAAAAGGGGCAAGAGGACCGATCCCTGCGGCACCCCACATATGAGGGGCCTCAGGGTTGACCTCTGCCCCCCTGTCAACACAGACTGCGACTGGTCGGAGAGAAAGGAGGAGAACCACCATAGTACGGTGCCTCCCACCCCCAACTATTCCAACCGGTACAGCATGATACCATGGTCGATGGTATCAAAAGCCGCTGAGAGATCTAACAGGACCAAGACAGAGGAGCAACCCCTGTCCCGAGCCCTCCAGAGATCATCAACCAATGTGACCAATGCCGTTTCCATGCTGTACCCAGGCCTGAAACCCGACTGGAACGGATCTAGATATGACGTTTCATCCAGGTACTGGGGAAGCTGTCGCGCAACCACACTCTCAACAACCTTTGCAACAAAGCGAAGGTTGGAGACTGGACGATAATTAGCCAATACTGCTGGGTCCAGGAAAGGCTTCTTGAAGAGAGGCCTCACCACTGCCTCCTTCAAGGCGGCGGGGAAGGCACCCTCACCCAATGAAGCATTTATAATCCCCTGGAGCCAGCCTCGCATCACCTCCCGGGAAGCCAGTACTAACCAGGAGGGACACGGGTCCAACAAACATGTGGTCGCGTTCAATCTACCCAGAATCCTGTCCACGTCATCTGGGGTCACAGGATCAAACTCGTCCCAGATAACATTCTCAAGACCCGCCTCCGTCACCCTCGCTGGACTTACCCAGTCGGAGTCCAGACCTTCCCGAATCTGAGTGATTTTGTCATGCAGATATTGAACAAAGTCCTCGGCTCTCCCCTCCAAGGGGTCCTCCCACGCTTCCTGGTGGAGCAGGGAGTGGGTCACCCTAAACAGGGCGGCCGGGTGATTATCTGATGACGCAATAAGAGCAGCAAAATGGGTACATTTTGCTGCTTTTATCGCCACTAGGTAATTCTTAATATGAGATCTTACCAGTGTCCGGTCCGATTCAGAAAGACTAGCCCTCCAACTACTCTCTAGGCGTCTTTTCTGGCGCTTCATCTCCCTCAGTTCCTCGGTAAACCAAGGAGCCAGGTGAGAATGGCACCGGGTCAGAGGCCGCAAAGGCACGACTCGATCCAGAGCTCTAGCAGCCGCTCTATCCCAGGCGGCCACTAGGTCTCCCGTCGAGGCATGTGCAAGATCCTCTGGGATTGGCCCAAGCTCCATCTGGAACCTATCAGGTTCCATCAGGCGCCTGGGGCGGTACCATCTTACCAGTTCCGCCTCCCTGCGGCGGGGTACCACAGTTCAAAGGTCAAGGCGAAGGAGAGAGTGATCCGACCATGACAAGGGCTCAATGACTATGTCCCCTATCTCAAGATCACTCAACCACTGTCCAGAAACAAAAACCAGGTCCAGTGTGTTTCCCTCCCTGTGTGTAGGGCCATGAATTAGCTGGGTCAGGTCCATGGCCGTCATGGAAGCCATGAACTCCCGAGCCACCTCAGATGCCTCACCCGCGGACGGCAGGTTAAAATCCCCCATGACCATAAATCTGGGGGTATCAACTGCCACCGCAGTTGTGCTCCCATCACTGTTTTTATACTCTGTGCACTCCGCCCATCTACTCCACCCTCTAGCTCCACCCCATACCCCAGTGTTGATTGGTGTGTTCCGGCTGCTCCCCCCATTCAGGCATGGATCGCAATTAATCCAGGACTGTCGGCCCTGAGAAGCCCTCATTAATGCTGGCTAAGGCAGCCAAAGTGGTGTTTGCACAGACGCAGTTCTATCCGCCTCTCAGCTGAGGGGTGGCAACTCATCCGATGGCGCTGGAGGACATGGAACACCTTGGAACCAGTGGGGAGAGTCTGGGGGGGAAGCAGGTGGCATTCTTGTGAGTGTTTCAGTTTTGGGAAGCAAGGTGGCAGGATCTGTTAGTCCCCATCCTCCCTGGAATGACAGCCTGGTGGCGATGTGGGGCTGACACTAAGTACACATGGGGAGGGTGAGGCAGAATGGAGGGAGGTGAGATCTGTTGTTATTCAATCAACCACTTCCACTGTACTGTTCCCCCATTTGTGCCTCAGGCCAAATGGTAGAGCCACATCTTTAGGCCCTTACGAAAGGCTGGGAAGGTTGAGGTTAATTTCACATCAGGGGGCAAATATTCCAGAGTGTAGGAACAACAGCAGAGAAGGTCCTCCTGGTTTCCACCAGCCAGAAAAATCAGGCTGATGGAACCCACAGCATGCCTCCTCTGCTGACAGGAGTAGGATGGGCCAATCCCAGCAGGATGAGATGGTCCCTCAAGTAACCTGGACCCATGCCATGTAGGGCTTTAAAAGTGACCACCAACATCCGGAAGCAGACTGGCAAACAATGCAGCTCACAAAACAGCGGTGTTACAGGGCCCATTCTTGGGGTCCCCAAAACTGCCTGGATGGTTTACATAAGCTGTAGCCCTAAAAGCTCTTCAAGGGTAGCCCCATGTAGAGTGCATTACAATAGTCCAACTATGAGATGTCTATAGAATGAATAACTGAGTGCAGGGAATCCTGATACAGGAAAGGCTGCAACTGGCACACAACATGAAGTTGTGCAAAGGCTCTCCTAGCTGTGACTGGCACCTGCTTCTCGAGCAAGAGAGAAGCCCAAGGAGAATGCCCAAGTTGTGGACTGGATCTGTCTGGGCAGTGCCGCCCTATCCAGAGTCAAAGATGACAAAGTCCTGGATCATGGAGCCCCATGTCCCCAAAGCCATTCAGTTTTGCCAGGGTTCAGTCAAAGTCTGTTGTCCTCCATCCAGGCCTCCACAGTCTCCAGGCAACCCAAGTGGGCAGCCACAGTATCACTTGGGTCACAAAGAGTGGAAATATAGAGTTAGGTGTCATCAGCATACTGTAGATACCTCAACCTGTGGTGACAGATGATCTTGCCCAGCAGTTTCATATAGATGTTTAAAAGGAGTGGAGAGAGTACTGAATTCTGTGGCACACCACAAAATAGCTGTTGAGAGCTATTTTGATACTGTGCTGCCCAGCCCCAGTCACTGCAGCCGGCCCAAAAGGATACCATGGTTGATGGCTGCTGAGAGGTCCAGGAGAGCGAGGATGGTTGCACTACCCTCATACCGCTCTCAGTAGAGATGATTGACAAGCATGACTAATGCCATTTCTGTCCATAACTGGGCTTGAATCCTGACTGGAAGGAGTTCAGATAATCCATTTTATCCAGGACCCTCTGCAGCTGCCAGACCAGGGGTGAAATCTACTTACCTTCCTTACAGGTTCAGAAGCGCATGCACCCCGCATGTGACACATGCACGCGCAGACCTTCTGCGCATGTGCAAAACCTTCTGCGCATGCACAGAAGGTAAAAACACATTACTTCCTGGTTAAAACCAGGAAGTAATGACACCTGGGGGTGGGCAGAGCTTCGCTCCACCATCGCTACCAGATCACTGAACCAACGGCCAAGATTGCTACCGGACCGGCTAATCCGGTCCAATCTGGGAGCATTTTACCCTTGTGCCAGACCATCACCTTTTCCACAACCTTCCCTAAGAATTAGAGTTTATTAGTCGGAACCTTGACATTAAATCAACTCTTAACCTCCTGGGATGGGTTGGCATGAAAAGGTTCCAAATTATATATCCCCGGTACCTTCTGGGTCCAAGTTCTGCAGAGAAGCTGCAGAAGTACAAAAATAATTTTCATGGTCAGCAATGAAAAAGGACATTGAAAGCTATGTAAAGAGCTGTGTGGTATGTGCACAATGAAAAATAGACCTGGGAAACCCCCAGGATTGTTACCACAAGTGGCCAAATTGTCATGACCATGGGAGAAGATAGCAATGACTTTATCGTGGAACTCCCAGAAAGTGAGGGAAACACCATAATTTAGACAGTGATTGATCTTTTTTCAAACAGGCTCACTTCATTGCCTGTTCCGACCTCCCTTCAGCCCACAAACTGGCAAAGCTGTTCCTGGAGCACATTTACCGAATGCATGTAGTTCCAAAGAGAATCATATCTAATCGGGAGGTCCAGTTAATGGCAAATTCTGGAGGGAGTTCATAAATTGGGTCTTCCCAGGGGCTTAGTTTGGGTTTTCATCCAGGTACCAATGGGATGGCGGAACGAGCTAACGCAATGATAGAGCAGTACTTGAGGTGCTATGTCAATTACCAACAAACCAATTGGGCTGACCTATTGCCTTTCACTGAGGTGGCATACAACAATGCTGCACATTGCACCATGGGCTTTATGCCTTTTAAGGTGGCCACAGAGGTGGAATTTGTTCCCATGCCTGGGTACCCTCAGGAGCACCCTTCTCAGTAAGCCTGACTGAATGGGTAGACTCCCTCCAGGATGCCTGGGAGAATGTAAAAGGGGCACTAACAAAAGCAGGCAGACAAAAAGCGATCCCCCTAGAGACTGTTTCACATAGGGGAGAAAGTTTATCTCTCTACTGAGCACCTAAAACTGAAATTGCCCTGTAAAAAGATGGGTCCTAAGTTTATAGCACCTTTTCCCATTGTAAAGATCATTAACCCAGTCACGGTGGAGCTGAAACTTCCACACAGTTAGAGAAAGTACATCTGGTCTTCCTCAGCAGTTGTTGAAGCCAGTAATAGGTTCAGAGCTAAGGCCAGTAGCTCAGGTAGCCCCAGGTCCCATCATAGTGCAAGGAGAAACCCATTATGAAGTAAAAAGAATCCTAGACTCTAGGCTATATAAGGGTAGGCTACAATACTTAGTACAGTGGAAGAGTTACCTCCTCTCTGAAGCCACTTGAGTGAAGAGTCAGAATGTAAAAAAAGATAAGTTGATCAGAAAATTCCATGAGAAAATCTCCGAAAGCCAAAAGGATAGCCAGGGGATGGCAAGGATGGCTGGTGAAAATGTAACCTGTCTGTATTTGATATTTTCCAGATACTTCTCACTTACTAGGGGGAGAGCTGACTGTCAACGTTGAACCGAACCTGGCAGCAGCCATTTTTCTGTTCCTCAGTTGCCACACAGAGGGGGAAAGTGGGGGGAAGAGGTTGGAATGTGGCACAACATTCTTGTGAGAACCAAGGTCATCTCAACTGACAATGGATAAGGTCAGGGAAGGAGTGCCTGGAGAGCCCGCCAATTAACCCAATTGGCCAACGTGACGTGTGTACTTGGGGGATGGGGTTATTTCCTATTTTAATTATGCTGAAACCACAGGAAAGATTTAGAGTTGGTTTTCCTTTGAAGCTATGCTGATATGCTGTACTCAATAAAGAAGCGCTTTAAGGAGGATTCTACTCTCAGAGTTCTGATTTGCTTGGGTTCATTATTTGGAACCATGACAGGTAGGTTGGAAATGGGTAGTGAAGGTGATAAAATTAGTGGAGATGGAAAATTGACTGTTTTAATTAAAGAGAAGAATTTATCTAGTTTTCTTTCAATTTGGAAATAAATTTTGGATTTTGTGCTTGGAACTGGAAAAAATAAAATTCTAATTTTAGGTTTTGATGATAAGAATGATTTTGTTGTAGAAATGACTTGAAATATTTAGCCCTCTAAAACATCTTAAGTAAACCAAAAGACATGATAGCTCAAGAAGACGAAACAGTCATCTACAACAGTGGTCCCCAACCCTTGCAGCTTGGCAGCCCAGCTGGGGGATGGGGAGAACGGAAGTGGACTACATGTGCAGTAGCCCAGTGCACATACATGCACATGCAGCTTGACTTGTGTGAGTTGAGCTGCTCACGTATGCATGTCAGCCTGCCACTTGTGCAACCCGGTTTTGAATAGGCCATGGCCCTGTAGTGGGTTGTGGTCCAGGAGTTGGGGACTCCAACCTATAACATATGGTCAAGTGCAAAGGAAATCAGGAGATTCAGGCAGTTCAAATGAGTATAAAGATTTATTGCAAGCTTAAGCTTTCTGACGAACTTGCGGTCAAGAGGAATGAGTGAGAGATAAGAGCGGCATTTAAGGTGGACTGGATATAGGGCTCTTGCAGGCGGGCAGGTATTTGTGACATGATATGTTTTACCCAGGGGTGAAATGCTCCCGGTTCGAACCAAATCACCCGATCTGGTAGCAATGGAGGCGGGTGGTTCGGACAATTGGTAGCAAAAATCCCTACCCCCCCTCCATGCCCAGCTGACCCGCACAATCATCAGAGGCTTTTTTTTTTTACTTTTAAAAGCATTTTTTCTACAACCTCTTTGGCCAAAAAAATGCTTTTAAAAGTAAAAAAAAAAGCCTCTGAAGATCATGCGGCTCAGCTGGGATTGTCAAAGGCTTTTAAAAGAAAAAAACCCTTTTTTTTCTTTTAAATGCTTCTGACGATCCCAGCTGAGTTTTTTTAAAAAAACCTCTGCCGATCAGGCAACTCAGCTGGGATCGTCAGAGCCTTTTGAAAGCATTTTTTTACAACCTCTTCACCGAAGAGGTTGAGGAAAAATGGTTTTAAAAGTTAAAAAAAAATTGGCCACACCCACCCAGTCACATTACCCCCCCAAGCCACGCTCACAGAACCCAAATTTTAGATTTCACCACTGGTTTTACCTCTCCCTCAGGCTCAGCCTAGTCATCTCCTACCTCACCCATCCCTCCATCTTGGCCCCCTCCTTTTCCATGGGTTCTTCTATGCTGCTTTTCCCTTCCAGTATTGTGTCTTCAAAGTCTGAGTTCTCATGGGAACTTGGCAAGGGAGGAAGGGAGGACATATCAAAGGAATCATCCTCCCATTTCTCTGCAGGAGCTGGTGAGCCAGATGGTGGTTGATATAAGACAAAAACGTTGTTAGAGGTTCCCTCCCGCCCCCCAGGAATTGAAGGCCAGATTGTAGGTGAGTCTCCCTCCTCACCCCAGAGGAATAAAGAAGATCTGGTTAACCTCTTCATCGACAGATTCCTCAGGCAAAATTAGGTGGGGCGCTGGTAGCCTGGTCAGCCTTTTCTTGTCAGGAAAGCACTGGTGGAATTGATGAACAAATAGCAATAGCACTAGCAATGGCACTTAGACTTATATACCACTTCACAGTGCTTTACAGCCCTCTCTAAACAGTTTACAGAGTCGGCATATTGCCTCCAACAATCTGGGTCCTCATTTTACCAACCTCGGAAGGATGGAAGTCTAAGTCAACCTTGAGCCTGGTGACAACCGATCTGCCAAACTGCTGGAAGCCGGTGATCAGCAGAAGTAGCTTGCAGTACTGCACTCTAACCACTGTGCCACCATGGACAAAATCAGGGGTATGAACATACCGTGCATTCATTCTCCCAGGAGCGATCAGAAACTGAGTAGCTCTTCCAATGAATCAAGTACTTACTGAATGCCTTTTCTTCTTTTCCAAGAGTCTAAAATTTCTTTGACCTCATATTCTGGTTCTCCCTCCAATATGACTGATGTGTCACTGGGATCTTACTGTGCTTGGGAGGTGGGGGAAGAGCATCTTTGGAAACTAATGCTCGGTGAAATACTGGATGCACCTTCATTGAAGGGAGTAATGGTAGATTGAAGGCCACAGGCTTGATTTGTCAGAGAACTTTGAATGGGCCCACAAACCTAGCATCTAGCTTCTTGGAAGGTCTTGAAGTGGCTAAGAACTTATTAGAGAGCCAAACTTTGTCTTCTACTGCTATGGGTGGACCCTCCTGCTGATGTGCATCTGCTACCTTCTTGTAAGCCTGTTTTGCTTGGACAAGTTGCTATTTCAACATGCCTTGGGATGCAAGTTGCTCTTGGAAGACGCCAACAGCCCCTGAAACCATGGAGTCCAGTGCAGGCTGGTCTGGCAACACTTTAGGATGTGTGCCATACATGCCTTGAAATGGTGTCATTGAATTTGATGAGTGCAATGATCTGTTGTAAGAAAATTCTGTAAATGGCAGTATTGATGGCCAGTTGCCTTAGCTATAGGTGCAGTAGCACCTCAAATACTGTTGGAGGACCTGGTTAGTCTTTCAAACTTTCCCATTTGTGGTGGGGGAACTTACCTTGACATTTAGTAACTGAAAAAGTGCTTTGCAAAATCTAGATTGGAATTGTGCCTCTCTGTCTGACACGAGTGCTGAGACCATGTTATGGTAGTGAAAGAATGTGGGGCTGTGTCTTTGACATTGGGCAATCCTTTACAGAGTATGAAATGGGCCATCTTGGTGAAAATATCTACCACCACTAATATGGTAATGAAGTCTTGGACAGAAGGTAAATCAGTAATGAAGTTCAGAGAGACCATATGCCAAGGGTGAGGGGGAGCATAGTCCTGCAGGCGTCTGATGAAATGGTTTGGCCCTCCTGCATGTGTGGCAAGAAGCCACAAATTCCCTGGTGTCTGCATCCATCCTAAGCCACCAAAAGTCTCTTAAAGTTCTGTGCAGTGCAGGGTTTTGAACATGTCTCTATGCTTTGTCGTTTGATTAGCATGGCAAAGCTGCAGTACCTCTTCCCTGCATTGGGGGGTAACTACTATTCTGCCTCTGTGTTTCAGGATATCTCCCTCCATTGCAAACAGGGTTACTGTATCTGCTGGGCTCGCCTTGAGGTCCTCTATCATGGCCACTGAGAAGTGATCTCGTTGTTGCTGTTCCTTTATTTTGGTGATTAAGTTCTGGTACAATTGGACAGCTCTCAATCTCTCAGTTGGCTGGTGGTGATTGGTGAAGCTGGAAATTGGAAGTTTACAGGATTGTTGTTGGTTCTGGAATCTTTTGAACAAGGGAATATTTTGGGTTTGTGGGAGAGCACATCTGGCATTAAGATCTTGGAATCTGAGATGCACTTATTGTAAAAATCAGAGCATGAGAAGAATTGGCTCCATCTGATGTCTTGACAAAAGCGGCTTGGTTTGTGGCAATGTATGTAAATTCTTGCAGTCAGTGTTGACTTATATAGAAAAGCATGCACCTTCTAGGAAGTGTCTCCAATGCTGAAATGCTGATTTAACGGCAAGGAGTTCCTTATTAAAGATGTCATAATTGCGTTCTGGAGTTGTCAGGGCTCTGGAAAAGAAGGCGCATGGATGAAGGTTGTTGTCTTCCCCTCTCTCTTGTAAGAAAACAGCTCCAATGGCTACATCTGAAGCATCTGTTTGGACCACAAAGCTCTTTAATATGTCCAGGTGCTGATGCAGGGGCTGGCAAGCAAAAAGTTAGTTAGTTAGTTGGTTAGTTAGTTAGTTAGTTAGTTAGTTAGTTAGTTAGTTAGTTAGTTAGTTGTTTTATTTCATCAAGCATGTATTTTATGACAGATACAAGTGTAAACATAATTATAAATACATGAAAAGGATACGAATTAAAGAAAACATTAGGACAGAGATGGTACTGTAGGCATGCTTTAACTCTTTAAATGCTGTTTGATCTGTAGGAGTTCAAGCAAATTTAACTCCCTTCTTAATCAGTTGGATCAATGGTTTGGCTTTATAAGCAAACCCTGGTAGCCCAGGAAGCACTAGACATCTTCGGCTGTACAAGGGGCTTGTCAGTTAAGTACAGCTTGGACCTTCTGGAGGTCCATCTGGATGTCTTTTGTAGAAATATAGTAATAAGTCTAGATAGATAGATAGATAGATAGATAGATAGATAGATAGATAGATAGATAGATAGCAAGTTTTGGTGTATTCAGGTCTTTTCCCGTGTAAGATTGAGAGTATCTTGGCGACATTTCGACAAGGTCCCACTCGTCATCTTCAGGCTGGTGTCTTCGGCTTCGTGCTTGTGCGAGGAAAGCACGAAGCCAAAGACACCAGCCTGAAGATGACGAGTGGGACCTCGTCGAAACGTCGCCAAGATACTCTCAATCTTACACGGGAAAAGACCCGAATACACCAAAACTTGCATACCTCTACCCATGAAAATCTACAAAAACAAATAGATAGATAGATAGACAGATAGTCAG